ACAGAAGTACTAGTAGATGCAGGCTACAGGGTTAAAGTGCAATGGATAGCAGAGGAAGATGTTTGAATAAAGGGCAACTGATTAACTGATTTCTAATTATGCAGATGGCTTCTGAGGTGGTCAAGTATAAGATGACTGCAATTAACCAGGCCAACCAGAAAACAGGATCCAAATGTTGGAGAGAGTCTGTCAGTTGATAATGGGTGCAAGAGATAAAGGGTACAAAGAGAGAAAGGATAGCATATCATTGAAATTACAGAAATACAGAGTCAGCAAAAACCTGAGTTGCTTTGGATAGAAAAAGAGGTAGGTGGTTGGTAGTGCCAGGCCATACAGGAGCTGTGAAAGCAAAATATCACTAAGTTGGTGAAACGACTGAGTATCAGAAAACAGCAAATTCCTGGCACAAAAAGGACAAGGAGATATTTTAGTCCCTAGAGCTGTGCTGATTGGATTCCAAACTGTATTTAAGTTTCAATAAGTCCAGCCAAATGGCTATTTCTGAACATCTATCCATGTGGCTGAGATTCCTGTCTTCTTTAATTTACAAGGTTGCTTACAATAACCACTCATCATTTCTGGTAATCTTTGCAACCACAAGACTCCAAAGGCAATATAAAAGAAAATAATTTTAATAAATACTACAACATAGATGACCCTTGAAAACATTATTCTAAATAAAATAAGCCAGACACAAAAGAATAAACATTGTATAATTCCACTTACATGAGGTATCTAGAATTGTCAAAATCAAACAGAACATAGACATTAATGGGGGTTGGAGGCCTTGGAAGTTACTAAATGTATAAAAGGTTTCTTTTTGGAGTGACACTAAAGTTTTAGAAATAAATAGTGATGATGGTTACACAACATTTTGAATGTACTTAATTAAATTGAATTGTATACTTTAAAATGACAGAAAACTTGCCCAGAAAGTAAAAAATAGTATTATATATATTGTACCACATACACAAAGACCCTATTAGGGACATAGTATGATGGAAAAACACCAGCTTGGAGTCAGAGAAACTGAGTTCGAGACCCAGCTCTGCCATTTTGTAGTTGTGATACTTTAGGCAAGTTACCCAGCCTCTCCGTTCATTCATTTGGAAAATGGAGATAATAAAACCCTATTTGCTGTGAGGAACAAAGAAAACAAAGGACATTGACTCATTATATAAGTATCTCTCAAAAAACGAGTCTAATGACTCTTGCTATGTGTATATGGAAGAGGAGACTTTGGTAAACCTCATTTTAGGGAAGTATGAGGCTTCTCCTTTGTGTGCTCAGATGTGAACAATGCAAAGCTCACCACGTCTGCCTTCAGAGACCCCAGACGTCCCTGAATGCTTCTCTTCTCCACTTCATCCTGCCATTCTCCTGTCCTTTGTGGGCCCCCAATTCTCTGGTGCTCTCTCCTCTAGTCCCCATGGAAACCACCCCTTAGAAGAGATTATTTTCTCACTCAAACTGGAGTCCCTTTGTTCCCCTTCTCAAAGTGTATTTGTATTTGGGCAGCTCTCTTTCCATGGAGGGAAAAGCTTGACCCACATAAGTTTGCTGAATTGAACTGAGGGATATTTTTTTAGGCCCTGGTAGACATGAACTAGTAAGTGCAAGAAATGCTGGGGGAAAGGGAGCCCTCTAAGATCTTTATCTCTCAAAGCCAGGCAGTTAATAATCCTGGAATATTTGCTGACCAGAACCCTTTCTCTGAGCATCAGCAAAAATCTGCTTTTTTAGATGCCACAAAAAAAAGACATTTTGTGACACCTAAAAAGCAAGCACCTACTCTAGGAAAGCTGGGAGCTGTCCAAGGTCCTGAAATGTGACTGAGCAGGCACGCCTTCCGATTTCTCCTAATCGCAGAGCCCTGTCAACACCAGTTCAGCCTAACTTCTGAACTGAATTTAGGAGAGGTGAGTGAAGAGATAATTCTGGGAAGGCTAAAAGCACGAGAGATATACAAAGAGAAGAGAGAGAGAGAACCACACACAAATACCCAGAGCCTTCTGGATAGACTTAATCACAGATGGAATGTTAAGGTCAAAACATAGTAACTTTTTATTTTACTTTTAAATAGGAATGGCCATAAATAAATCCCAAATGCCCTAAGAAAAAATATGGAATAACTGAAAGGGGAGCAATTGTTATGCATTAAACAACACAATACTACACTTTGTAAACACAAACTTGTGGAACTACAACCACATAAATTGATGTGTCATCATCAACTGAGCCATATCAAAGGATTCAAAACTCTTTATCTTCTATGTAGGTAGAAATAGTTTAATTTTTATGAAGGAAGGACAAATAGGAATATGACTTAGCTTGATATCATGGTCTTTTGTGTGTCTTTTAAAAATATATCTCCCCTTTTCCAGAAAGTTTGGAGCATGATCCTTCCCACCTGCCTTAATGATATGTTCGTGCAAGCATCTTTTAGTGGAAGGTAAAGAAACTTGGCAAAAAAAAAAAAAAAGAAAAAAGAAAAAAGAAAAGAAACTTGGCAGAAGAAATAAGTAACTTAAAACCTGTCACATAACGGGGAAGGTAGGGTTCCCCCTTCAGGGCAGACCAGCCGGCTCCCACCCATGCACCAGGCCTCTATACTAATAAAAGGGTAATATGCTAATTAGACTGGGAGACCTTCTAGGAGACCTGCCGGATGTCCTTCTGGTCAAAAGCCATTGCATATATGATATGCAATCAAATACATACTGCCTTATGGAGGTCCTTAAGTTAGTACCTCAAGTTAGCCATAACTCTTCAAGAGGGTAGTGACCATGTCTCATGTCTTCTCCCACACAAACTGATATAAACAACAAACACAGTAGGTGTTCAATACATGTTGGTTGTTTGACTAAAGCAGAGATAAAGTCCAAATTTTACTCAGGTAATGTGTTTTCAGGGTATTTTATTTTAAAAAATATATTTTTTTATTGATTTCAGAGAGGAAGGGAGAGAGAGAGACAGAAACATCAATGTTGAGAGAGAATCATTGATGGCTGCCTCCTGCATGCCCCCCACTGGGGATCAATGTTAGATTGAAGGTCATTGGTTCAATCCTAGATTTAGGTGATTCTTTCTCTTTGGCTCACTTTGCCTATTTATCTATCTGTCTATATATTAATACTTTCTCCTAACTCCTAACTTAATAAAAATTTTTAAACCTAGAGAGAGGTTACAAGACAAAGACAAATATCTACAATATATTCACTGTTAACTTTTGCCTCATTTGCTTTATCTCCCTTCTAAGAGTGTACACTATTTTTGCCAAACATCTGAGAGAAAGTTATATAAATCATGATACTGCAACTCTAAATATTTCAGCATGTATCTCCAAAGAACATTTGACTACTATACATATATAAAAATTGTATAAATATATATTTTTTCAAAGAACTATTTCTTACTTTGAAATAGTTTAAGACTCAAAATAAGTTGCAAAAATAGTACAGAAAGTTCCCAGGTACCATTCACCCAGCTCACTCTCCATGATAACATCTTACATAACCATAATACATTATCAAAATGACACTGATACAACAAATGAATTCAACTACAGACCCTTTTGAATTTAGATTGCACTGGGTTTCTCAGTTTATCTTTCTCTCAATCTCTCCTGTTCCATGGATTTTTATCACTGATAAATATTTGAATAACAGAACTGTTCATCGCCACAAAAAGAAAAGCTCTTTATTACTCCTTTATAGTCACATCCTCTTCACAACCTAATCCATTAACCATTGATATGCCCTCTGTCACTATAATTTAGTCATTTCTAGAATGTTACACATAAGACATAACATTTGAGGCTATTTTTTTTCTAAATCCTCACCCAATGATATGTTTCTATTAATGAGAGAGAGAGAGAGAGAGAGAGAGAGAGAGAGAGAGAGAGAGATAGGGAAGCAGATGGCTGAAAATGGAATCCTTGAAACAAAGGAGCGTGGTGAGCACTGCAAAATGCCACAGAGAGGCCACCGAGGATGTGGTAGGAGGGAGAACCTGAGAATGACACACCAACGTGTCTGCAGTGCCTACATCTGACATCAGAGGAAGATGAAGACAGGGCAATCCCTCAGGAAAGCTGGCCAGCTGGAAGACCTGTGGTTTGAGGCTCCGCCAAGATCACTCCTCTGTCGTACAGCTTTTATTAAAGCCAAACATCTTGGGCCTGTGGGGTGGGTTTGCCAAGAAAGGGGAGGTGTAAGTCCCCTGGGGAATCTCAGCGGGGAATATCAGATAAGCTGCTCAGTTAATGCACACTGCACCCCACGCTAGATCGTCCAGGCCACTACCCCATTTGTTGGATTGTTTGGGTCTTTTCTATACTTTCTTCTGTTCTCTGTGTGTTTTGCCTTTGGAGAGTACTGCTTCTATGGGTGGGTGGAAGGAGAAAGGAAAGGAAAACTCTGGCCATGGCATTTTGCTGATTTTTAGTAGTCCTGAATAATGGGGTTGAAATGAGACTGAAATATAGCCCAGAAGTAAGATCTCCTAATTAAATGTGGTTGTTTCCACATTGCAATGGAACAACTGTGAGCCACACTCACACTGGCCCCTGGAACCACAATCTATCAAGGTTGGTTGTATTCTCTCTCCCAAAGGGCAGCCTGTACAAGGATGTGGTGTATAGTTTTCTGTAATTTCACCACTAAACCCAACTCACAGCCTGTTGATGGTGTAGGTGAAGCAGTGCCCTTTATTTGATAGAAAACAATGATGGCAGTAACCCCTTATACTTTATAGCTTGTAATGCACCTTTACATGCACCAACTAAATCTTTCATAACCTTGGGGAGGTAGGTGCTATTACCTCCACATGGTGAGTGGCAAAAGCCACAATTCAAGCCCATCATCTCTCTGTATCCAATGTTCTTTTGATTACAAACCAGTCTGCTATGTCAGTGGTCAGCAAACTGCGGCTCTGTTGACTAATGAGTTTGCCGACCCCTGTGCTATGCTGTTGTTGTCCAAAACTCTTCTGAAACCCACTTAGCCTTATTCTGGCTACCTGGAAATGAATGAGACTTCAAGAATTTCCTTACTCTAAGAAGTAGAATGATGTGGTGAAGAAAGAATGTATGTTTGATGCTAGTGAATTTATGCAGAGTGCTGCAGCTAAGTCTCAGTTTCTTATCTGTAAGAAAGAGGTAAGGGCAGAAGGTGATAAACCTATGCAAAAAGTCTTGCCACAATAACTAGTCAGGACTTTTATTCAGCAGTATGAGCATTCTTCTATTCTTCACCTTCAGGTCTTTCTGAGCCCAAAGCACTGAGAATTGAGTCCCTTGGTCTGTGATAAGGAATCAGGTGGCAGGATGTGAAAAGACCTGACCATCCATGACCAAGCACAAAACCAGGAAATAAGCTCCAAAGTCTCAAAGAACTCCCCTTCCCCTTCCTCTGACGGTCTGTCTCAGGCAATACCTTCCATCCACCCACATGAAACAAAAATCTACCCTAGAGCTAATTCCTTGATATCCCAAGATCAATAAATGTCATCAGTCTGAAATCCTGGAACCTACTAAACAGTTCTTCCTACTCTCTCCAAAGTCTTAGCCACATCCTGAGAGAGATTATAAGCATTACTAGAGGAAATTTGTGCACTGGGGGGGGGGGGGGGGGGGTCCCTCAGCTCAGCCTGCGCCCTCTTGCAGTCTGGGAGCCCTCAGGGGATGTCTGGCTGCTGGCTTAGGCCCATCAAACATCCTTAGCACTCTAGAGGCAGCTCAGACCTCCACCGCTGCGCTCACCAGCCATGAGCCCAGCTTTTGGCTGAGTGGGACTCCCCCTGTGGGAGCACACTGACCACCAGGGGGAAGCTCCTGCTTTGAGCATTTGCCCCCTGGCGGTCTGTACATGTCATAGTGACTGGTCATTCTGCAGTTTGGTCTATTTGCATATTAGCCTTATATCATATAGGATTACATAATGCAGACCCCCACACCCTGACTCCTCCCAATCTCATCTTTCCAGATGCTTCTTTGAGTCTCCCAATGCATAGGAAAGGTGGCCAGTTCAGTTACCAATCACTCTTCCCCACTCCTAGGGGTCTGTTTGCAGGGACCTCTTTTGTCCAAAGAGAGAGATCTCCACAAGAAGAGGCTCTCACAAAACCCTGAGACGATTGACACAGACTGAAATCTCAAATGCACACCAGGCCACAGGCATCACGTAAAGGAAATCAGAGGGCGGTCGTAGTGAACTGAGAGCCGTGAGGACTGTGGTGAACACGAGCGCGTAGGTGTACGAATAGCAGGGGCGCCTTCGCGGTGCCCGTTTCGGCCATCCTAGCTCTCCCCTCCGTTTCTTTCCACCCAGGCCCCTGCGCACTTTACCTGCCTCGCTTCTTCCCCCCACCCCCCTCGGGGGTGGGTGTGGGGAGGGATCGCAGGCTCTCCGCGCAGCCTCCCGGCCCCTGCGGGTCCAGGGAGCCGCCGAGGAACCGCCGATGAGATAGATGTTCTCTGACGCAGACCCACTTTCCCCTCGGGAACCCCGAACCAGCGGAGGGAGGGAACAAAGCCTCGCCCTGGGGGTCCCACTCTGCCTGGGAAAAGGGGGCCTTACCCTCGGGAGCTCCGGGGTGGGAACAGGCCTAGGGAAAACCCTAGGACAGGGTCGTGGGAAGCGACAGAACCGTGCGGTCCAGTCGTTTACGCACCCCGGCACTCAAGCCATTTCCAAACCAGACTCTCCGTGGGGAGGGAGGGACACTCAGGAGAGGGGGCGGCTCCTGCGCAAAGGACCGGCCTGGCGCCCTGGGTCCCAGGCGCGCGCGCGCAGCTGCAGGAATCGCGGAGCTTCCCCGCCCCATCCCGATCCCGATGCCCCCCTCCCCTCTCCCCGCCAGGCCCGGAGCAGAGCTCCGCCCCCACTCCCCCACCCCCACCCCTGCGCCTTAAAACCGGTGCTCACCGCCCCGCCGCGCCCCGCTCGGCGCACCTCTCCTCCTCTCCTTTGTATCTGCAGCCGCAGTCGCTCTCCCGGCGCCGCCGCCGTCCCGGCACCATGAGTTTCAGCTCGGAGCACTACCTGTGCGGCCCCTCTTCCTACCGCAAGGTGTTCGGGGACAGCCCGCGCCTGTCCTCGCGCCTCTCCGGCGCGGGCAGCAGCTACCGCTCGCAGTCGCTGACCCGCTGCACCGTGGGCTCCTCCGCCGCCGCCGCCTGCTCCTCGGCCTCGTCCCTCGGCCTGGGCCTGGCCTACCGCCGGTCCCCCGCGCCCTCCGAGGGGCTGGACCTGAGCCAGGCGGCGGCGCGCACCAACGAGTACAAGATCATCCGCACCAACGAGAAGGAGCAGCTGCAGGGCCTCAACGACCGCTTCGCCGTGTTCATCGAGAAGGTGCACCAGCTGGAGACGCAGAACCGCGCCCTGGAGGCCGAGCTGGCGGCGCTGCGGCAGCGCCACGCCGAGCCGTCGCGCGTGGGAGAGCTCTTCCAGCGGGAGCTGCGCGAGCTGCGCGCGCAGCTGGAGGAGGCGAGCTCGGCCCGCGCGCAGGCCCTGCTGGAGCGCGACGGGCTGGCCGAGGAGGTGCAGCGGCTGCGGGCGCGCTGCGAGGAGGAGAGCCGCGGGCGCGAGGGCGCCGAGCGCGCCCTGAAGGCGCAGCAGCGCGACGTGGACGGCGCCACGCTGGCCCGCCTGGACCTGGAGAAGAAGGTGGAGTCGCTGCTGGACGAGCTGGCCTTCGTGCGCCAGGTGCACGACGAGGAGGTGGCCGAGCTGCTGGCCACGCTGCAGGCGTCGTCTCAGGCGGCGGCCGAGGCGGACGTGGCCGCCGTGGCGAAGCCAGACCTGAGCTCGGCGCTGCGGGAGATCCGCGCCCAGTACGAGTCCCTGGCCGCCAAAAACCTGCAGTCCGCCGAGGAGTGGTACAAGTCCAAGTTCGCCAACCTGAACGAGCAGGCGGCGCGCAGCACCGAGGCCATCCGGGCCAGCCGCGAGGAGATCCACGAGTACCGGCGCCAGCTGCAGGCGCGCACCATCGAGATTGAGGGCCTGCGCGGAGCCAACGAGTCCCTGGAGAGGCAGATCCTGGAGCTGGAGGAGAGACACAGCGCTGAAGTGGCCAGCTACCAGGTAAGGGCTGGAGCGCTGGAGAGGGAGGGGCATACCTGAGATTTCCTTTTCCTTCCCTCCCCCCGCACAATGGTGACCCAAGGAACCGAGGGAGGGCGATGGAGGAAAGAGCCTGGACTAGAGGCCTTGGCAAACAAAAAGCTTTGGGCTCTCCACTGATAATGGTAGGGGTCTGGACGCCCTCTTCTCCTGCCCCTCACTTCCATACCTTTCCGGGACCTTCTTACAAAGAAGCCCTTAGCTTCTCCTCTTCAGATTTCGAAAATCTAACTTATGCCTCCCAGTCAGCAAGTGGGAATAAACAGTTGAAGAACAGTTCCCCACCCAAACGGAAGTGGGTTACACCTGCTCCGTGGTTGATGGTGCTGTCTTGGTTTTTTGGCTTCTTTTGTTGACTTTGAAAGGTTTTCTTTGCGTCCTGGAATCGATATTTATAGAGTATGGTCTGCCCTAGGGTTGGGGAAAGAATGCTGGACTGAACTGGAAAGTCATTTTCCTGACTTTTATTCTCAAAGGAGTAGAGATTGGGAACCAACGAGATGGGTGGTCAGGCTAGTGTAACCGCCCTGTTCTTGCTCTCCCCCTCCCCCAACACACACATACACAAAACACACTACACACACACACACACACACAAAACACGGTTCCCTTGTCGATCGATTGATATTTCTTTTGAAAGAAAGCTTTAAACACCAGTTAGCAAATGAAAAAGGGTTTGGGCGCTGTCCTCGGTGCTGATCTCAAATTCTTCCCATCTCAGAAATGTCTCCCCGGTCGCATGGCCCAGTTATGACTCTAGGCAATTAACTGCTTTGATTTTTTTTTTCTTTTGCAATACCAACACATCAGTCTTGGCTACCTGCAATCAAAGGTCACCTCGTGGACAGCATCAATATTCACTTTCATGGATGGCTTAGCACTAAAGAAAAACCACTTAATTTGCTCAGCAGCAGTGAGGTCCCACTTGAAAATGCCCTTTTTCTTAACAGTTTCCCAATCTAAGTGAATGTGATAAATCAAAGAGATTGGTTCTGTTTTTGTTATAGACCACTTATTTTTCATCCTCTAAACTCCTATGATGGGGTCTTTCCTCACTTTTTCCTCCAAACAAAGACCAACTGCATTTTTAGTATGTGTATATATATATATATATATATATATATATATATATATATATATATAAAAAACATTCTGGGCTTATGACCACAAGGGCGCAGAGGCAGGAGAAAGGTCTAGAAAATAATCTAAATAGTGTGGTTCAAATTCAAGGTACAATAAAAGCTCTTTGGGGTAGAAGCTAATAATTCAGAAACTCACAATAATTCATTCTAGCCAAGATCAAAGTTTACATTTGATTAAAAGAATAGGGTTTAGGGAACATTAATAAAATACATATAAGAAAGGAGTGAAACCGCCAAAGTATGGTTTTAGTCTAGAGATAAAGAATAACTATTAGTGTACAGATATTTATTGTTCATTATAAATTACTTTCTTTGATAAAGGAAGAAAGCTTGCTTGGACCATTTGTTTTTGTCAGTTTGCAATAACAGTACTACTCAAGTGAGGATTTCTATTTTACTTCAAGATCCTGTAAATTTGAACTTTTCACTATGTGGCCTAGTCCCTGGAAGGTCCGGATTAGTCACTTTAAGTTCATTGAAGCTTCGTGTTTTCTTCTAGAAGCCTCAAAGATGAGCTAAGTGATCTTCTGAAGGGCTAGCCCAATATTTCTACAAAAAGGATAACTTACCCACAGCTGCCATCTGAATTGGGCTTTGCCAGGTCCTCTGATTGCTTGTTATATAGCTCCTGCATTCTAAGGCGTATGACAATATTGTCTGGCTTGTTTTGTTTGCATTTAAAAGGCTTTGAGTGTTAGACAATAGCGGGGTCATGTACTGGTAGACATAGCCTATAGGAGAGAAAAAAACACAGCAACTGCAGCATGTCTGCAGCTCTGCAGTGCTGCCCCCATCAACTTTTGCTTTCAGTGCCCTCAGCGGACATGTTGATGGAGTGGAAGAGATTAGAGGCAGAGAGCTATTTCCTACCCTCTGGGACCTAAGGCTGAAGAGGGGATCACATCCTCACCTGCAGAACCTGAAGGCTTGAAGCCACCAGGGTATCCTCTGTTCTGACAAGCTCAGCAGTGCTGATGAAGATGAAAAGCTTCCTTCTCCACAGCGAGATTCAGCCATTGTTTTCCTGCCCTCTCACCCCTTTCCTCCCTCCCCTTTCACTGCAGTCTGGGAGGCTGTTCTTTCTTCTGCTTCAGTGGTTACTAGTGGGCCCATTTCCCTTTGAAGCTTGCCACTCTACTTAGAGGCAAAAGGAAGGCTCCATTAAAACCCCACTTTCCCTGCCCCAGAGA